AAATCCATCATCATCCCCAATTATATATCATCCCATAAAAGCGAAAAAATAATAAGAAGAATCGAAGATTTCTAAATGTAAAGAATCAAAAATGAGACGAATCATCGATTCAAAAAATATTCTAATGAGACGAAATATGATTTCAATCTCCTCCAATAATATCATCGTATTCAATTGGATTTTGATGGTCCTATGGAATTCTCTCTGCGAATCAGAATTCCAATGATCCAGGTATTCCTGAAAGAAAGATTCCAAACCACGGACCACCGCCACGAGACCACCACCACGAGACCACCACCACAAGACCACCACCGCGAGACCACCACCACAAGACCACCACCACGAGACCACCACCACGATCACCAACACAACCACCCGCACGGACCCCCGCCACGGACCACCACCACGGACCAACCACCACGGACCAACCACCACGGGACCACCACCACGGGACCACCACCACGGGACCACCACCACGAGACAACCACCACAAGACCACCACGAGACCACCACCGCGGACCACCGTCACCCGGCCACCGTCACCCGGCCACCACCATGGGACCACCACCACGGGACCACCACGACGGCCACCAGGGACCACCACCACCACCACCACCACCACCACCACCACCACCACCACGGACACCGCCACCACCACGACAGACCACCACTACCAAAGGAGCACCACCACCACGGGACCACCACCACGCTGTGGGACCACCACGACGAACACCACGGGACCACGGACCACCACCACGGGCATTCGGGAAAACCCCCCAAAACCCCAGCCTTTCAGCCCCAACCCCTCAGCACCCCAAAACCACCCACCCCCCACCACACCCGACAGAACCCAAACCATTACAGCAAAAGCAAAAAACAAAACCCCCCCCAAAACACGACAAAACTCCGGACACAAACCCTATACAATTTCTATTAAACCCCAAAACCCTACACCGTAAAGCGTAAAACCCTGAACCCGGGGGATCCCGAAAATTCCCGGAATTTAAATTCCTAGGATTTTCGAGAGCTGTTGCTGATATGTGATCGTGAGGCCGAACCCCCTTGAACAGCTGGCGGGCGGCGACCGTCATCGGAACTACCCTGGACCAAGAGATTTCCTTGAAGATGAAGGGGCACCCACGTCATCACTGTTGCGCTGGAACCTTAAATCCAACCCGGCAAGCCCAAACCTCAATCCGGACAATTCCTAAAATTCCGGGAATTTTCAACTCCGGGTGATTCCCAAAATTCCCAGGATTTTTAGACAAAAAGTGTTAAAATTCCCGGAATTTTCAGGATCCCCCTGCAAGGCCCTCACAAGCAGCCAAATGGACCGGAAGAGGAGGCGGGGCATCCGACGGAACGGCCGCAGAGCGAAAATAGGGGTCGAGCCCGTAGCCTTTTATGGGGATATAAATTTTCATTTCCTGCAGGCATCCGAGCGTAGCATCTTCTAATCATGCCTGTACCCTTGTCCCGGCAGCATCTCGGCTAAGGCTTCCGAGCGGAACGAAGGCCTGGTATGTTTTTGGCTGCCCCTAAATGCCAAGTCAACGGGTGTAGGGCTTAGGGTTTAGAGCTTATGTGCAGTTCCACCGCAAGTGCGGACAAGTGGCACGCCGAAGCTGTGAGGCCTCCACCATGTCTGACCCTAGAGTGGTGTCTCGTATGCCAGATCCGCAGTACAGCAGCTTCGATCTACTATAGGGATCGGAACAACTACTAATAGTATTCCCTCATGGTCCCAATATAATTCTACTATAGTAAACCCCAAAACACTATATTGCAGAATTAGAGCTGCTCGACCCCAGCTCCTGCTCCCTACCCATCATCATTCCAAACTGGAAGAAGACGACGTCTCGGCTGGGGGCCATGGGGCGCCTGCTGCTGCACGTTCGGAGCAGCTACGGGGCCGACCGGCCTCGAGTTCGGATGGGTCTCATGGATGCTCTTTTCCAAGTCTTTGATTTGCCACCCGCCCAGGATGGCTTAAGGTTTAGGGTTTAGGGATTCAACGTTGGCTTTGCACAAGGGCACAGCATTGCTCAGGATATATATATTGTGCCACTTTGTTCCCCGTTTCCGCTGCCTGCTTTAACCTGAATGAGCGTGCAGCAGCTGACAGGAATAGCCGGAATAGCCTCCGTTCTGGTTGTCTCGAGATGCCCAACTTAGCACATTGCAGCTTCCCAAGCGTGTAGGCGTTGCTACAGTAATTAGTACCCAAAGCGAACGCACATCGAATGGCCTTGTCCTCTGGATGACGTTTCAAGCTCTCTGTCATTTGCTGCATTGCCCAATGCTGTGTGGATTGGACTGCTAACCTCCGAGGAGAAAGACGATGCAAGATGTCATTGTTGTGCAATGGCGTGGGTCGGCATCACAACATCTTTCGCCGCAGATTCAGGGCTAGGGTCGCTAAATACTCACTGCCATGTTTTCCGAGCCCCATGCAGCTTCAACTGATGAGGAGCTCAAGGAAAAGGCCTGGCCGAGGCGTGGGCATTGGACGGACTGAAGCCAGTCTGATTTAGAATGCGCAGCAGGGGGTGGTGAACTCGGCCATCAGAAGACATGACCAGCTTGCTACGAGCCTGCTTGTGCAAAGGTCTCTTCGACGAGAACCACAGGCCCTCGGTGTGACACATCCCATGTGAACCAGGAACCTGCGTGTCTTTTGTATCTGGAGCCTTGGGTACTTTGGGGAGGGAAACTCCACAAAATCCTCTCTCTAGCAGCATGTTCCTAGCTGCCCGGGCTTGGGGGGTGATATGGGGTGATGAGGCATGCGATGCCTGCACGTGAAAAAGCCACAGTTCTGCCTTCAGCACGCCACTTTGCCGCACCTCAACCCAGCTGCCTGTAGCTAGCTCCTCATGCGACTGCACTTGCCACCTTCTGCCGGATGTAGTCCAGCCCTGAGCCTTCTTCAACCTTGGACGTCTCCGGCCTTGTCAAGCCCTGCACAAGCCCGCGGACACTCAGAACTTTGTCTCGCCACCGCAAACTGATGCCGCGCACAAGCACGTGGCGTGCAAAAGCCTGAGCTAGCCATGTTGCTGATCCCTTACAGGCCCATTTGGTCATCGACTTAATGTATGTTAGATGCACAAAATACATTGCCATGCCTTCAATCGGCACACTTTGCCTACCTGACGCCAAACGATGTGTGGACCGATTGACCATGGGAGCTCCGGTGCACTCGCCGCTGCTGTGCCGCAGAAGTCATGCATTGCTGAAATACCCAGACCCCTGGGAGGATCTGAAAAGTAGAACCCCCAAATAGTATACCCTATACTACAATTGGGTCATGAAAAAGGAACCCTTAAGGGGATCTATTTTTTGGATCCTCCCAGGGGTCTGGGGTGTCACCACGTGCAGTTTAAACAATATTCAGGCGTGTCAGGCATCAGGTGCGCAGAGACTTTGAAGCAATGGTAGCGGTTATCATAAGTTCATAAGCCATAGTAACGCATCGACAAGCTTTGCCAGGATAGTCAGGACTCAGGGCAATCCCGTCTGCCGCATGACTAAGAGCAGCTTGTTCGTGGTGCCAAAGCCAAGCTGTCTGAAAGGGTCGTAAAGCGACATCGGTCCAACGCGAGATGAAAACCCAGCTTCGTTTTTTAAACAATTACTTACCTTGCAGATTGTGCAGCTTCTTGCATGTGAGAATGTGTAGCGCTGCAGATGCGTACCTAACTTAGGATTGTACAGCGTACGCCGGCACTGTTGTGACGTCCTGTCGGATCTCACGCCGTCGCTCCTCAGACTTGCACGCCTTCCGGAGATGCTACCGCCAGCTCGACAGCTCCCCAAAGACAGGAGGCTTACGATTTTAGGGAGTAGTAGTAGTAGTAGTAGTAGTAGTAGTAGTAGTAGTAGTAGTAGTAGTAGTAGTAGTAGTAGGAGGGTGTGAAGGATGTCCTTTGAGAATAAAGGGCTAACAGCGCCTAGCAGCAAAGTGCCAACAACAATGTACAGGAGCCCGAGCCTAGACTAAGAGAAGAGGTACTTTACTTAAATGAGGGCACCGTCGGAAGAACCGCGCAAGCCATTGCTTTATGCGGCTTAGCTTTCCTTAGTCGTGTTCCGAGGTAGTCGTGTTACGATGATGCAAACCTAGTCTAGAATCTACACGCAGTCTTGTACCAATGTGCGTACGAGCGATATTGTCAACCCTTCTTCCCAAACCTTGTCGTCGGAGTTCCTTGCCCTTTTGCGGTATGGCGCTTAGAGAAGTTGTTGCGATTGAGTTGGGATGGGGGACTGTGGGCTGGATACCTCGAGTTTGGGGTGTTTGGGGCTAAGATCTTGGATTAAGATTCCCAGCGTGGGGTCTTGAGGTTGAGATCTTTTTTCGGAAGTTGTGCCGACAACCGGCGAAGTCTCGTGGAACTTAAGGTTCAAGTCCTTCTGCTCTTGCACATGCCTAGTGCCACAGTGTGTTGAGTTTGGTGATAGGCAAAACCATAGAGAGGAGCTGTAGAGAAAGTGATACTCCACACTGCTGTACGCAGAGCCTGGCCGTGTTAAATTAGACGCGCGTGACCTCTCAAGCTGCAATCGTATATGAACAGGCAGCTGTGACCCGAGCATTGTTGCAAAGTGTGCTCGCAACTTGACCTTCTTTACTTGAGGAGGAAGTGCTGGCTATTGAACTGTTGCCTTCGCAATGCCAGGTACAGCCGATATAGCAGCCCTAGCAGCTACTAGCGATACTGCTGGATCGGGGCAGTTCTCCAGCTAATTTCCGCTCAGACTTTGAGTGTCCAAAGCGCGCTTATGATACACACAAACATCAGGCGTGAGGCCTTCCTTAGCTTTGACCGGGTTGCACCGGTCGTTGGTCTTCCCGGCCAGTCGCGTCGTTGTGCCATGCTGTGCCCCTATATGGGATTGGGGTTTAGGGGGTTATGCTAGATAGACTGTCGACTGCTTTAGACTACCGTACCACACATCTTCTTCGACTGGGGGTACCTTGATAGCATACGCCATGCCTCTTGAGATCCAGGGACGGTCCTGCGCAGCTCCACTTCTTGTTTTGCACATCCCAGCCTGTCCCTCGAACTCAAATTGGTACTACCCGATGTGGCAAAGCGAATTCGGCAAATGGATCCTCCACCGATTCCATTTGCAGGGTTCCGACGGCGGCCAGCCAAAGATAGGGCCTCGCCAGTTGCCAGGGACACCAAAAACACAATCCCCAACGTGAACACGGCATGAAGCTCTCCAAACCTCCTGCCACAACCTTGTGTGGAAGCCTCCCCGGACTTAAGGCCGACTCTTGGGGACTGAGAGGCCTACTTGCATGCTGAGTGCATGACTACTTGCATGCTGAGAAGGGCGTGCCCTGACACAACCACTCCGGAGCCTCTTCACTTGTGTGCAATGCTCCTCAGGCACCGCCGGCTCCTAGGGCCAAAACACTCAATGCAGGCCCTGCAATCCTGTGGGATATGCTTGTGTGTGCTTACATCGGATCTTTGAGCTGGTGCAGGTCTAGTGGCTAGCCTCTCAGAGGTTCACCTCAAGCTTGCCAGATGTGACGTATGACACGCTGGGCGGGCCGCCGCACATAGTGATGCTGCAGCAAGGTTGAAGTGTCCTGGTCTGCTTCCGGATCTAACTGCTTGGACAGGAGCACCTTGCGAGCGGGTGTGTCGGAAGACACAAGCACGAAACACACACCTTGTGGCAAAAAAAAATATGCGCTCTTCGCTGCTAAAGCGCTTGAGCACTCCAACTTACCCGAGCTCGGTGACCGAAGCACTCCCAGCATTTGGGCGACACCGCTCTGCTGCTGCTGAAGTGTGCTGATTGCAGACCTCTGTGCTGAATGAATGAAAGCTGACTCCCTACTTGACAGGCAGCAGGCCTCTCGCACCGCTGGTATCTCTTCCACGCAACGCGCCGAAACCTCTTTGCCAGCTCAGGGGCGTTTTTCCATAGAAGGCTCCACAGAACTGACTTCGGGCTGAGTGCTGTCGATGATGATGATGGGTGCAAGCGAGAAAGACTAGAGGATTTCTATTTTGTGGGGGTGGGGGAGGGGAATTCAACGAAGCATCTCAAAGCTTAGAGCCTCGACCTCAGGCATCGCGATGGGTGCATCCGGCAGACTTGCGGCCGTGACCTGCACCCACCAGTATTCGACACGCAAGCAGATGAACTTGCCAGCATCTGTTCATGAACTCTACGTGTATTCACTTGCATGTGCACATGATTTCTATACACAGTCGGCCATCAAGCCTTGAGCACCTGAAAAGACTGTCGTGGAGACCCTGATCCATCCAGAGGCTACTTGGAGGTTCGTGGTACTTCATCACCGAATTATAACTGCACTTCTAACCCAACTGTGACCCTGTTAGGACACTGAAGAGGCTCATAGGTGGATGATAAGTACAGTGATATAACTGGGTAACAGGCTGATAAGTGGGTTATAAGTGCAATTTTATAACTGGGTAACAGGCTTATAAGTGGGTTGTCAGTACAGTTTTATAAGTGGGTAACAGGAATACAAGCGGGTTGGAAGTACAGTTTTATAACTGGGTAACAGCCTGATACGTGGGTTAGAAGTACAGTTTTATCACTGGGTTCTAGGTACCATCCCTAAACCCTAAACCCTAAACCCTGAACCTCCAAGGTATCAGGAGGCCTTCAGCGCCGGGCTCAGCATGGTGGGTGCCGGAAGAGCCGGGACCTAGCACCAACTAGGAAAAGGAGACTAGGGTTTGGGGTCTGGGGTTTGGGATTTGGGGTTTGGGGTTTAGGGTTTGGGCACATGGAGGCTTCGCGACGTCTGTTGCTCTTACCCGTCGCTCATTTGTAGGACTTTGGCGCTGGAGGGAGAAAGCCCAGAAAAACTTCCTGGTGCCTCCGCATCGTCAGCTTCCTTGTCGGAGTGCTTCGCCTGGATGCCACAGGAACTAGCATGTGAGTGCTTGCCATTGGCTTCCGAAGGATTCAGGCTCATGTGAATGCATCTGGCGAGGAGTAGCCGAGGCACTTCGGCCATGTCTGCTGGTACATCCGTCTCCGAAGATGCTATGGATGACGAGCGTGACGACAACACCTGCACATTCTGGAAATCATGTGGGCGTCGAAGGGGCTTGTGAAATCGACGCCGACCGCAAAAATGGTAGGTCTTTGACGTGAAGCCTGTCTTGCGGCGGCCTTCTCAGACTCTTCGAAAAGCTGTTCTGCGCAACTCACCTGTTGCTATCCCAAACAAGCTTGACATCTGCACAGGGACAGGATCAAGAGACCGGCTGTCCGTGACATGCCACAGCTTCAGCTAGGATGCGTAGTTTTTGGGTCAGGGGAGTTCATGAATACTTACACCACAAAACGATCAGATGCAACAATCCAAGAGACTCAAGTGAGACTGCAGTGCGCTATCGGGGCCTTCGCGATCTGCTGATGAGTTGTTGATCGCTCGCAAGGTACCTTGCCCAAGAGAAACCATAAGCACAGTACCACACCAAACTGCGCATCTCATTTCTCCAAGCGCCTACCTACACATGCCTACTCCTAGAGACCTCCACGACTCAATGCAGCAAGATGCCTCGTCCATTTTTGAGGCCATACAGGAGAGAAGGTAGGAAGCAATTGCCTGGCACTGTGGCACCTCCAGAGCCGAGTTTGGGGGTTTAGGGTTTTGGGTTTAGTGTTTAGAGTGAACAGGTGAGCGAGCAAGTTCTTCTTGGGACTTCACTCTGTCACCATCTTTCACTAAGCAGTCCTGTGAGTCACTGAACGGCTCGTCGTTGCAAGTACAAACAAAAACTACCGTACCTGAAGCTGCCCGAAACCTTCCAACATCGGTCCAACTCTGTGGTGATACGTCTCAGCGACAAGCCTCCGTCGACAGGAAGTGCAGAAACTCCTTTCGGCTCTGTGTCGAAGTGATCTGAAGCTCAAGGTGTGCATGGCATCGAGACCCTTTTCAGAATGAAGCACTTGCAAAGAATACCAAAGCATTTCCTGCGCATATCACAACTGGGAAAACGGTAACTGCTGTCCTCAATCTCCGAGAGCGTTTCCACAGCCACCTTGGTGGGGGTTGACCGGCATGCCCCATGTCGGCGAGATGTGGGCCGACCGCTGGCATTGGTTCAATCCAATCCTCAAGGACCGACAACTTTCTCGTCGAGGCATGGCTCTGAGGGCTGTGCCACAGCTGCTGCACCGCCCTGGCTGGCAGGGCAACAACGCAACGTCGCAAAACCCGAAAACCCTGAAGCCTTGAACCCTAAATTCCAAAACCCAAAACTTTCAACTGAGCCCTTCGACCGGGCATGCAGCTGCTCTCAGTTTCGACGGCTGCTGATTCTGCAAAGGGTTGCTAAATGGCGTCAGCTTACAGTGCCTAACGACACGTCCAGTTTTGCCAGAGAAGCGACTACACCACACTGGCTGTTTGGGTTTAGGGTTTAGGATTTAGGGTAGGGTTTAGGGTTTAGGGGTTGGGTTCAGGGTTTGACAGGTGCATGAAGCACATCACATTCCCAGGTCTCGGTTCTGGCAGGCCTGCTCTTGCAAGTACTGCACCAGGTGCAGAAGCCGAAGCCTCGTCCGGGTTTTCGATTCCCAAACATGAAGCAGTTGAACAAGCCTAAACCCTAAACCCTAAACCCTAAACCCTGAACCTGCCCAGGGAGCGAGAACCCGGAAGTCGCCTGGGTCGCCAATCTTCCGCCCCGCTCACTTCCGCCGCCAGGCGCGAGGCCAGGTGACAGGCAGGGAGACCACGACAGGCGGCCCTTGGGGCTGGCAGGGGTTGGGTTTAGGGTTCAGGGTTCAGGGTTTAGGGTTTAGTGGTGGGGGTAGTTCATGGGTGCACGAGGTTTTTTTTGGGGCCTTGCGCATGAACAGTCTGTCCTGCAAGTTTAGGCCTTGAGGCTTATGGACTTTGGCCGATGCACCCTCCCAACCCTTTTTTGGCTTGAGGGCTCCTGCGGTGCCCAAACCCCAAACCCTAAACCCAAGCCCGTGAATAGGGTTGAGGGTTTAGGGTTTAGGGTTCAGGGTTTAGGGTTTAGGGCTTAGGGTTTAGGGTGTAGGGTTTAGGGTTGAGCGATTCGGGTTCGAACTTGCAAGTGCTCTCAATGACAGTCGTGGGGACCCAAGGAGCAGCAAGGCTTCGTAACAAACATGGCGTAACAGGAAAGGAGTGAACCCAGCATTTTAAACAATGCATGTAGCATCTCATATGATATGGCACACGACCTGGGCCTCCGTCGGAAGAACAACTTCGAGGCGCGTTTTTTTTCGGCGGCGATTCGAAGCCCTCTTCCCTGTCTATTCAGAGGCTCCGTGGATTGAAGTGTCAGTGACCCCCGAAGCTTCCCGAAACTCCTGCCCAGTTCGGGTCTTGTGCCATTGTTGCGACTCCGAGGGTGCTCCCCAAACTGCAGAATGCGGCCCAAGAAAAGAACCAAGCTCTGAGAAGCACACCACACCTCTTCCAGCTCAGTCCTGCATCGGTTTAGGGTTTAGGGTTTAGGGTTTAGGGTTTAGGGTGGTAGATTTCGAAGCATTGGAGGACACCATGCTTGATTCCGGGGGGAGGCGCAGTTCACTGGCCCGAATGAAGCAACTTGTGGACCGCCACGAAGCCAAAGCAAGATAAGGTGCCGCAGTTACGTAAAGTCTGATTTTCGCTCTCTTCGCCAGACCGGCGCTGCAAACTTGTGCCGACCAGGCCTGCTTGGTACGACCCGCATGGCGTGGCACGTGCCGCAGAACTTTGCAATGGCCTTCGGGAGGCTTGTGGCGCTCGGACGCAAATCGACAGCCGACAGCTATGGCCGCTACAACATTCTACAACTCAGCTCAGGCCCTAGCCTGCTCGGATTCAATCTTCTGCTGACTGCTGACAGCAGCCGCCGGCAGAACGAGTTTACCTGCCAAGGACAGACCCTCTAAGGTAATCTGCGAGATGCTGGCGCGCATGCAGATGTGAGGACTTATGGACGGAGACCTTGAATGACTCAGCACGTGACCAAACCCTGACTCCGCGAAGAAGGATTTTGTTCCAGGATGCATCACAAGACAGGGGCCATGGAATGATACAGCCAGCTGATGCCCATGCAAGCACTCGACAAGCTGACAAATGCCCAGAGCGTGGCGCTAGTCAATCGTCGAGTCAAAGGCCCAAATCAACAGATCCAACCTTGTTCGTCTTGTCCGTCCGGAGAGAATGTCTCACGCAGAAACTCCTGAAATCCATGACGTCGCCCACGACTCGGCTTCAAAACTCAAATGAAGGATTATCTTGTCTTGAAGTTACGACGATTCAAGGCGGCGAATTTCCTCAACTTCGGAATAGGGGTAACGAAAAGGACACTCCGCCCTTCTGGTGCAAGTTCCCTGACAGGGTCCTGTAGGTTCCAGACCTTCTCAAGCCAGGGCGCCTGATGGCAGCTAAGCTTTCAGAAGCTGCGCACACTGATGCCCAGCAGTGTGATGCTACTTCGTCAGACATGCCGGGAAGGGCGCTGAAGCGCAGCAGAACTTGAAGTTAGCCTGGTATATGGGGGCTTCCCAAATAGGGGGTCCCCTGACTTGCCCTCCCAAAATAATATAATCCTTGTTATGGTAACCCAACAAAAGGTACCCCTATTTTCGGACAGCCCAATATATGAAGCATTAAAGGAGTGCCGTAAGCACATGGCTGCACTCTCTCTGGTCCAACCTGGCTGAAAGCGTGGTAGGCGCGCATGCTGCGAGGCCTCTCGGCTCAGAGGGGGAAGTTTGCATTCGTTTAGAGTTAAGGGTTTAGGGTTGGGTTCAGGGTTTAGGGTTTAGGGTTTAGGGTTTAGGGTTTAGGGTTTAGGGTTTAGGGTTTAGGGTTTAGGGTTTAGGGTTTAGGGTTTAGGGTTTAGGGTTAGGGTTTAGGGTTTAGGGTTTAGGGTTTAGGGTTTAGGGTTTAGGGTTTGGGGTTCTTGACTCATATACGGCTTTGTGCTGCTTGCAGCCGGCCTCCTGTACAGGCCCACAGGGCGACAAGGCCACAGCAATGCAGCTCCGAATCGCCGAGCCAGAATGTCGCGCAAGCCGAGGCTCTGCAAAGCATCTCCCGTATCTAGGTTTAGGGTTTAGGGTTTAGGGTTTAGGGTTTAGGGTTTAGGGTTTAGGGTTTAGGGTTACTCCGGGGCATCCTCTGGGCTTACACTTATAAAAGTTTTAGACTGGGCTCCATGGCTGTCCCAAGATGTTCAGGAACTCATGTGGCGCAATACAACCCCCCCTCCCCCCCGCCCCCCACAATTGGACCAAACCTGTTCCTCTTTAAACGGCCCTCCTTCCCCGGATTTCATGCGGGTTATGATAACGTTTGCGATTGAGAACGGATAAAACAAACCGAAGACCATGGAAGACCCTTAAATCAAAACCAAGACATACGACGTGCGATTCGTTGATTGTGACATCTGTGGGGCATGGTAAGACATGTGGTTGGTTGCCATTGCATTTGGTTAATTTGGGGGTGTGGGGGCATTGCAAGATGTATGGCTTGTTGCCTTTGACTTGCCGGCCTGTTGGGCATACCCTAAACCCTAAACCCTAAACCCTAAACCCTAAACCCTAAACCCCAAACCCCAAACCCGTTAAAGTGTATGATTTCTTGTCTTTCTTGAGTCTCAGCTCCCCAGCATCGGCAGAGCTGAAATGACAGGCCACCTGCAAGCTTCGACTGTCATGGGACCAGGGTTTAGGGCTTCGGGCCACAAAGAGTTGCTGGAAGTTGTGCGGCAGTTTCATGAAAGAACGGGTGATGTTCTTGGACCATGCCCGCAAGCTACTTGACTTGGACCCTCTGGCCAGAATCGCGAGCATCTCCAACTCCCAAAGCGAGCCTGGCTTTGCCGAGAAGGCTGCAGAGCATTGGAGGAACTGAAGCCGCTGCACCTGAGCAGTTCTTTTTGTGCGACTACACTGACAGCAGTTTGAGTGAAGCAGCTCCTCTGTAGACTCTTACACTGCATACGCAGTGTAGCGGCACCGGCGACAGCCATACGAGTAACTCTAGCCTCTCTGCTTCGTCACCTAAGCCGATCTGCTTAAGAAAGCAGAGGCAAAAATCTACCAAGCCGTCAAGTGACACAGTGAATCAGTGATAAGTAGCTGTCGGTTGCCGGTTGCTTCGTATGATTCTGCGGCACACACGGCGCACAAGCGGCACCATGCTACTTTTGTTGAGACTCTCACGCCGCCTCCCAAAGATTGTCGCTTTCGGACTTCATCTCTACTCGGAGTGAGGTGTGAAAGCTTTTCATGCCTTGGACATCCTCAAGCCTTGATCACTGCGACTCTTTGCAGGTCTTGTTCGACTTGATGCTGCTCCACGCGTTCGGGAAGTAGGTGTATCCTTGCGGGCTCCAGATTTTCAGTGCCCTGGTTTGGGAAACGGTGGCGTCGGGTCACGGAGAATGTCCGTCCTTTGCGCCTCCTCTCTCGCAGGCAGGATACGCAGTCGGCGCCGTACCTTGACCAAC